ATTATAAAGAAAGAATCTGTTGGAGTATTAACAAAAGCTTTATCTAAAGAAATTAAACAACGTCTTGCTAAAGAAACTACTGTTAAAATTACACCAAATATTTTATCTTTTATTGACGCTAAATATTTAATTGAAAAACTTGGATTACATACTATTGATACTTGTGACTCTATGTCTGCTTTTAAACCATGTAATAATGGTATTGTTGATAACGATTTTTCTTTTATTAAATTAAATCATCTTCATCCATTTACTCTTCTTGATACTAATTTCATGTAATTTATTTTGTCTTCTTAATTATTATTCTCTAATTAGTAGTTTAGAAGATGTGATTATTTTATTATCTATTTTTATTTTATATTATTGTAACTTTCATTTTATATTATCTAAATATACTTACTTTAATAGAAAAATATTGCTTTTAATAAATTATTTTTATGTTTTAATATAATTCACATAACATCCATACATTTAAAATAATATATTCTTTTTAAAAATTTATTCTTCTTAATTTTTGATTTTAATAATAAAAATAAAAAAAGGAGTAAGTGTTGGTACAAATATCTTCACAGATTATTTCTTATTTCTAGAAAAAAAAATACATCAATTATGACTAACCCAATAATTAAGTTTTCATCATGCTAAGAAGTAAATGAATTACTTTCTTTAACATCCTTTATTTCTTTTGAACTGATGTCTTTTTAAGACACAAATTAGTTAATAAATATTTAATAATAAAAAGTAAAGAATGAAACAAAATTTTAAGTCATTTAAATAACCATCATCAAAATTATTAAAAAAATAAAATACATAAGTAGTACAAACAACTAGGTTATTAGATTTTAAACCTTTTTTATTGTAAGACAATGACAATGGTCTTCAAGAACAGATAAAAATTCATCACATTTATCACATTCTATGAATTGAGAATAAGAATTTTTGTTAAAGTTAATAACAATATTTTTACCATTAACAAAAACATCAGAAATGTCGTCATAATTAAACTCTTCTCTAAAAGTGTCTCCAT